TTAATGGCTATGTGTCTTTTGCTGCAATAAATATTTTTATTTAAACATTCACCGTATTTTATGATCACACTTCATATAATTGAACTCTTCTATTAGTAGTCACTTTGAAATTTTAACATGCGTACTTAAAGCCTAAATTCAACATCTTTACCTGTTTCGTGATGATACAATGACCTACAGAATGTCTGAATTCCCCTCAGCACATCCTAACCTTGCATAAGCTATTTTTGTCCATTTAGTTCTGGTATGATAATCCCACAAATTTGACAGCATTGGTGTTGATTTTATGGACAAAGTTTGTTTTCATTTACCCAAATGTTTACATTTTTGTGCAGTAGAAATCATCAATGTTCTCTTTGCGGTTTGTGCTTGTGTTAATGAAAGAAACGGCCATTGTCTTTGTTCCCACTCATTCTTGCCTTTCAGCCTTCCTTCTGGGGTCGGTTCCTTTCTCCAGCAGGGCACCTGTGAGAAGCCTGCTGGTCACAGCTGTTTGTCTGAAAATATCTGTATTTAGCCCTTTGGAAGGTCCTCTTCAAGTGGAATCTTGCGTGTGCGACTCCTGGCTCTTCCCCAAAGTCAAAATGATCAAGAAAGGTAAGCGTTTTGAATTGATTCAGGACAACTCCTTGCTTTTATTATGCCATCTTCTGGTACCCACTGCTGCTGGTGACAAGTCAACTCATTCGCTCACTCCTGTTCTTTGTAATATTCTTTTGGTCTCTGACTACTTTGAACATTTACTTTTGATCTTCGGTGTTGTGTGATCTTGCTTTGATTTCTCTAAGGCAGACTTCTTTTTGTTTATCTTGTTTGGGATGTTTGGGGATTTCTGAATGTGAGGATCTGTTTCTTTTACTAACTTGGAAAAATTCTCGGTGCTCATCTCTTAGAATCTTCTTTGTTCCACTCTGTTATCTCTTCCTGGGGCTCCAACTGGAATGTGTTCTTCCTTCGCAGTCCTTGTGGTCAGTTTCTCAAACTCCCACATGCAAACAGGTCACCCAGGCCTGTGAAGATGCAGTTTCTGACCATGAGGGGGCCAGCTGGGAGGAACGGCCTACCCAGAGCCCCGCCACTGAGCGGCTCAGCAGGAGAGGGTGCTGATGTATTTGTTTGATCCCAGGGAAGGGGGACAGAGAAAGGAAGAGCTGGCTGAGCCAAGGTGACAGTTGACCCGGACCTCTTGTTTTATGAGAATGGCTGCAGCAGCCCTGTCTGTCAGCAGGTGGGGCCACGGGCACCTCTCCCACTCGGAGCTTCTCAACCTGGAAATAATGGAGCCAGGCGTGTTGCCATCTGCTGGTGGCCATGGAGCATGGTGCTGGCTCGTCTTTCCATGCGGTCCCTGTGAAATGTGAGGAGCAGCCTCAGCGCCACAGGCTCCGGAGGGAGACAGGGAGGAAGTGGCTCCCCGTGTCCACAGAGAGCTGCACAGCCTGGCAGCCCCACAAGGATGTTCGACTTCTCCGCTTCTGTTGTGACGCACGTGTTCCTGCAGTCCCCACTGGGGCCTCTCCACAGGAGCTTCTTGGCAGACACTGGTGCCCATCTGACTGCCAGTTTCCTAACTCCCTCTACCGAATGCAGTGATATGGGGAGTGTGCCCACTCTCCTCCATTCACTGGCTCCTCAATTCTGGGCAAGGGACTTCTCAACACTTTCACTGCCTGGCGTGACAACCAGACGACGGTGCTGGCAGCTACCTCACACACTAGTGCAAGGCACTTCCTGGAGTGACAACTGGATGGTCCTGGCAGTTACGTCACCAGCTAGTGCAGGGCTCAGGGAGGGAAGCAGGGGTGACCAGTCCTTTGTCACCTCACACATTGGTCCTGCTGTTGCTTGTGTTCAGCACCCCCTTCTAAATCAGGGGGTGTTAAGTCTGGAAGTGACGTGGAAACTGCAGACTGGAAATAAAGATCACACACGAGGAAATGCTTGACGTGGACTGATTTCTTCCAGAAGAAAACAAGTGCTTCCGGGTATAATTTCACTGCCCTAATTAGTGGCAGAAATGTCGATGAGCGAGACTGGGCAGTCCCTGCGCTGTGTCCAGGCTTGGCAGCTGTCCGCATCTGCCCCTACAACCAGAGTGCCCCCTTCCTCGTGTCGGAGGCTCCGCTTGACCCGTTGCGCAGGACCCATGGGAGGGGACGGGCAGCTGCCCCAGCACTCCAGCGGTCAGCAGTCCCCACGCCTCTCCGGAATGTGCAGAGCAGTAAGCTTCCAGAGGATTCAATAAAACAGCACAGGTGGCATGTGAGAACCTGCAAGGAAGCTGGTGGGGTGGGCGATGGTTCTTAAGGGCTAACCAGAACATCCTGTAGAGTTGGGCACAGAAACTTATGTGTAATTTAACTTTAATAAAGAAACACTCAGATCTAAGAAGTGTATTTTCTCATAGTCTGTATCTGATTCAGGTAAGGTCTGAGCTGCTGAAAGACGAGTGTGGGTGCGTACCATGGTCAGGACCGTGGCTGCACTGTGCACAGTCTAAACTAGTGTTTCCTGTACTTAGTGTATTTGGATTGCAAGGAACGAAACTTTAAAACTTACTACTGAATTCTAGGCTCAGATAAAAATTGCCTTCCTGGCCATTGTCACCTGTCCCCACAGCGCACCTTAGTTTACTGTGAATGGGTTATCAGGTGAGCACCTTCCTGCAAGAGCAGCTCTCCCGGAGCTCCTGCTGGCCGGGTCCTGACCGCTGGCCCCACCCCACGCTGGCTGACAGAGCAGGCCGTCGGCACAGAAAGCACTTCACAGTAAACAGCCACGCACGTCAGATCTCTACCAAGCACAGCGAACGAGTCGCTTACAGAAACGAAGAGCTGTCAGTTGAAGCCATCTGGGAAAGAACCTGCTGAACTGCCCCCTTTTGAGATGAACTGAGAGAATACATGGGAAGAGCAAAACCACCGGCTGATGTAAGAAACCGGTCTTCCCAGCCACTCCAAATCCGTCGTCCTCACAGGGTGCAGGGGCCTGGGGACAATGTCTGCCAGCTCAGAGGCAGCCCGGAGCCCACCAGCAGGCCTGCGGGTCTGGCCACGGACCTACAGCTGCTCTGGGGCAAAGAGCCGCTGCCTATCGGCCAGGCCACTGCCGAGTTCTCCAGCTTCGAAAAGGTCGAAGAGCCAGGCTGTTGAACCCACTTTGGCACACACCGTTTCGAAGGCGCCGGTCGCCCTGCCCGGGGCGAGTGAAGGCTGTGCCACCCCAGAAACCCATCCTGTCAACCCCGTTCTGATCTCCCACCCCCACCGCTCTGGACATCCCGTCAGCTGTGGAGCCTGCCAAACGCGGTGCCCCCACCCCGGCCCCACTTGCGTTTACCCTGCCTGGCGTTCCTGCATGTGGGGCCGGTTGCTAACATGTGCCTCCCTCAGTCCCGTGGGCCATAGGCTAAGATGACGTGGGACAGGCACTACCCGTGTGGGCTCCCAATGTGCCTGAGCTATGGGGCCACCCCACCTGCTCTTGGGGTCTCATAGCCCCACTGCTCCATTTTCACGAATGCCATTGATCTCCTGGGAGTACGAGACACTAACTTTTTTCCAGAGCTGCTGACGGCTGTTTTGAGAAGGCAGAATAGGTTCACAACCCCCCTCCCCGAGATCTGATTAAAATAAATTCATAGAAAGGTAAAGAGCATCCCCAATAACAGAATGGAGTGTGGGGGGAATCACCGGCAGGGCTTGGTGTCACACGTGTCCTCCAGGGGGAGGCCGAGGTGGCCGTGGGCAGCTGTGATAGTGGGCTCGGGTGTGCGGGGTCCTGCAGTGAGCTGGGAACAGAACTGGGCGGCACCCCACCGAGCGCCTGGTGCTGGACAGCTGTGCCCCCCGCCAGCCAGCTTCCACTCACATGTGGAGCCCTAAGGGCGTGTTCTGGGCAGGAGGAAGACGGCTTCCCAGAGGGGACACGCAGATGTGCGCCAAGGGCATGACGGAGGAGGGGTTTCTCTTCACCACGTCCTCTATCATTTGATTCCCGTGTGTGTTGCTTAATGAAGATTTTTTTAGACACACACGGTTTAGCACAAGCAGCCCCGGCCTCCCTGCCCTGCTCTGGGTCTTACTCAGACCACCCTCCCTTCGGCTGCCCGTCTCAAAGCGCAGGGTCTGCAGCAGATGCCAGAGCATCTTGGGCCTGGCGGCCCCTCCCTGAGGGGAATGGGTGCTTCTTGCTGCTCTCAGCTGGGAAACGCTTTCTCAGGAGAGGACGCGAGGCTGGTTTAGAGAAGAGGCTACTTGACATAGCGACAGGTTTGCCGCGGCTGCCGAAAGCAGCACCACTGCCCACGGGCCTCTTCTCTTCCCGCCCCCAGCAGCAGCCTCTGAACTCGCTGTCCCCGTGCCCCAAGGACAAGGAGAGAACCGTGTTCACGTCACTGCCCTGTATCTATCTCAGTCCTGAAAGCTGCACGTTGTCCCCTGGACCCCAGGCCCCGCAGTGCAGTGGGGACGTCTCTGTCCTCCAGCACTGCCGTTCTGTTCTCACGCAGCACAGGAGTGCTCCTGGTGGTCCCCTCGGTGCCTCGTGGCCATCACTAACTCTAGAATGAAAACCAAGGCTTGTCCCCTTGGCTTTCATAGATGTGTGAACCGTGTTTCTACTTGGGCTCTGAAAGGGGCGAGGGTAGCATCACCGGACAGTCCAAGGTCCTTTCTGATGCCTCAGACCTGCTTGCCAGCACATCCCCTCACTCAGGTGCCCGGGGCGGCAGGGCGGGCGCCGGGGACAGGGTCGTGTGCGGAGGAAAGCCCCACTGCTGCAACAGTCACAACAATTTGACATCAGGCCAAGTCCTCCACATGAGTAGAATTAGTGCTAAGAGGTTAAAGGTTATTCAAGGTCATCTGGATACGACAGAGGTCAGGAACATTGAGAGGACGGTATTAATATTATTGCATAATATTAATATTTTAGCAGTTCACAGCAGCATGCAGATAGTAAATGGTGACGAGAGGGGAGGGGACAAAGTAAAAACTCACATCTGGGTGCGGGATGGCGTACTGTCCCTGGATCGTGTAGGCCTAGAGAGAGAGACACTGTCAGCTCGTGAAGTGGGGCCCTCCCCCGAGCAAGGCTCCCTCCTGGGTGGGACTCTGATGTGAGCAGACCCACGCCCTCTGGCTCCAGCTGCCCCCTCCCAGAGCACAGCCCCACTGCCCCAGTTGTGTGGGACCAAAGGGGAGTCCTCCTAGGGCACCTGGCGTCCAGCCTCGCCAGCGCCCCTCGCTGGGCTGGCCGGGGCTACCACCAGACTCATGAGCTGGGGAGCTGCACCCCACCTCCTCCCAGGGCTGCAGGAAGGTGGGGATGGCCAAGTCAGCGGGGAGGGAGGGAAATGACTCACCCCAAATGCTTCCTACACCCCCCGCCCTAGTCTCTTAAAAGAAACTACCTACGAATGATCTGACCCGTTACAGAATCACTATTAACTCTTTGAAAATTTAATCAACCCTGAGAGTAAACACTTTTAGGAAATATTTACTCCAAGAAAACAAAACAGAAAAAGAAACCTTTAAAAGGTAACCCCCAAGCCAATTTTCCAAAAGCCAATTAAACAAGAAATGCACCCAAATCAGTCATGGGTTTGACCGATCCGATGTCCAGCCTCTGACAATGAAGCAGCTGTTCTGACTTGGGGGGCAGCGTGCGCACAGCACAGCTCCCAGAGGGGCCAGGTGGGTGCTGAGGCCTCATTTTGGTTTTATAGTTTCACTGGCCTCTGAGACAGTGACAGACCAGCCATGGCGAGTGTGGGCCCTGCAGCGGCTCCCACCCACCCTATCCAACCCCACAGACAGGAGAGGCCCCACCCACCCCTACCTGCCTCAACAGCCCATCAGCTAAGATGCTTCCAGAAACTCATGGCCAAAACCAAACCACACAGAGTCAAGGAAGAGTGAAGACCAGAGACTTGCCATCAGGCCTCGGTGACAAGTACGTGCACACCAGCCCCGGACCAGCCACGTGCAGAGAGGGACATGGCTTCCAGCACCCGGCCATGTGGGATCCCTGTGTCATGTCCAAGTGGACAGCTAATGCCCACCTGAGCCCACCCATGGGGGTCCCTGTGCATCTGAGAGGGAAACCTCAGGCCAGTCCATGAGTCACTTCTGTGGCACTCAAACCAAGAGTGGTTTCCACAGTCCTGCCAACTGCAGGGTTTGAATCTGCTCAGTTTACATCATAAACAACCAGCCACTGGCCAGGGACCATGGGAAGAGAGGTCCCAGTCTGGGTTAGGCCCACCCACTGGCACGTCAGCAGGAAGGAAAGGGAATCTTTTCAGATATGGCAGGTGTCCTGGTGACAAGACAACGGGTGCGTTGCCTGCACTGTGCTATGGGGCCCACAGAGGCTGCATCCAGACCTTGCCTTTAGCTTTTGTGGAGTTGCCACCGGGCCATGCTCCAATGTGTCACCAAAGGTGACAGGTCCTAGACTCACGCTGCCCACCCCCCAAGCCAGAAAGGTCCGTGACAGCTCGGGCCTGTAGCCTACGTGTCTGAGTAGACGGCATGTGCGTCCCGGAGCTCTTGGCCCGACACTTCAGGCTGCTGACTCATCTCATGTACTGGGCGGCTGTGTGCACAACTGACATCCCCTCTGGGCAGGAGGGTGTCGGGGGGAACCCTGCACCGTGAGCCCACTGAGAAGCGGGAAGGCCGCACCTGCAGCTGAGCTGTGCCCCAGGCCCAGACCTCCAGGGGCGTGTCACCAGCACAGGCAGACCGCCTACGGGAGGGTATCGTCACTGAGTCAGGGCGAGCCTCTCCGGCCACACGGCCTCGCAAGGAGGCTTTGCAGCGTGTCCTATGGGGGCTATGGGGCCTGGCTGGAGGGGCTCCTTGCTGCACTGGGACCCACTCACACCCTTGTCCTTAGTCTGCCCTGTGACCTCTGCCTAATTCTCTGCAGTGCAGTGGTGACCCTCATGTGACTCTGTCCCTACCACAGATAACCAAGACCAGCCATTGACTGGACCAGACTGTCTGACGGGCACAGATGCTGGGTTAAAATGCTGACGGCCTGGTGACAGCCTCGGGACAGGTGCCCATGACGATGGTGACTGAAGGGTGGGCCGGATGGCAGGGAGCCGACCACGCGGCTTCTGGGCCCCCATCTGTGGGAATATTAATGTACCTCCTTTTGGAACAAGGTGCCACACTTCACCGCACGGTGTCATGGGTTTGTCCCCCCTCAGGGCTGAGAGCACACAGGTAACTACTAACCTGCTGGCTAACCATTACTGGGGAAAGGAAACGAGATCTCAACACTGCCCCCTGCCCCCCGAGGCTGGCAGAGTGGGGCACGGCTGTGGGTCCTCTGGTCCCGGCCTCGGGGCCTCGCTTTCCGACCTGTCACATGGGGACGTGCCCATGTCCTGGGGCTATTGTACGGACGTGAAGACAAATGTCAGGGCTGTCGGGAGACTTTAGTGGGAGTCGGGCTGGTGGGAGACATGCCCCAAGGGTGTAACCCGTGGGGCCCGCAGCATCAGACGGGGAAGCCGGGAGACCATGCAGGCCACACAGAGCTGCTGCACCCCTCAAATGCTGCTGAAGACATGGGAACACAGCACCCCGCCCTTCACCTAATGTGTGGGACGAGCCTGAGATCAGGTAGGATTCCTTTCCGTAGTCAGAAAAGCATGAACACACTTGTTATTTGCCCCTTTTTTTTCTTTTTAGTGATCAAGGAAAAAGTCATGGATATTCTCCCCTGACCCGGGTCCCATCTGGCAAGTCTCCATCTTAACTCTCCCTTGAACAAGACACACATCACTGCCGACTGGACACAGAGCTTCTCCAGGCGCCGCTGGCCGGACGCGTGCAGAGTCCCTCTCCCCCGCTCAGTGACCCTGTGGTGGCGGGACAAGCCAAGCGCTTGTGGGACGCCGCTGGGCCAGCTGCCTCATGGCGGGAGGGGCACTTGTGAGGAAATGAGGCATAGCTCCCCCACTCAGCTCTCGCTAGGCCCTACTAAGTGAACCGCTGGCCTCAGACAGAATTTCTCTGCGGCCACTGGCCTCTCAGGCCTCTTCCCGTAGGAGAGAAGGGAGGACAGGGACTCCGGCCACAAGGATAGGTGTGGAGTGCCCGTTCCGGCCTGCCGGGACTGGCATGGCTGTCTTCTGGTCCGGCGTCTTCTCCTTTCATGTGCCTGGGATTCACCTGAGGGATGCTGGGATCGTGTGCTTCTGGAAAATGGGACCCTAGCGCTCCCAGTCCTAGTTGCTTCAATCAGGAGTCCGAAAAGGCACCTGTTGATGCTCCTGGCCCTTCTGTCTAAGCTTGTTAAAAACCCTGGCGGACTAGGCTTGGGATGGCGTGGTCCCGGTAGCACCATGTGAGCACGGAACCAGGGTCCTCCTATGCCAGGTCAGGGGGAATGCTCACTGGGGCCCAGGGTGCCCACCTTGGCCCTTTCTGACACCACTCAGACTGGCCTCTCTCATGAGCAGCCCAGGCCGCCCCCAACCTCCGCTGTCCGCCCTGGCAGTGGGCCGGGAGAGCTCTGCATCCAGTGGCGAAGGGCGGGAGACGTGCACGTGAGAAGGGAGAAAACCTGAGTGCACTAACGGGCAGCGGCGGGGGCTGCAGTAAAAGGCTGAGGTTGGCAGTGGAGGCCGCGAGCGGGTCGGCTCTTACCTGACCACCTGCAAAAATGACAGGGGTGGAGGCGGGCTTTGGGCGGTAGGGAATGGTGGCACCTTTCGGTGGGGACTAGGAAAAGGGACAGGAGAGGGAGAGAGAACGTTAGACAGCCTCACAGTGTGACAGTAGTGAGGGTAGGGAAGCCTCTCCTGAGCCCGCCCCCCACTGCACCCCTGCCAACCCCAGTCCCCCAGGCCAGTAGTGCTGGGGGGACACCCCAGGGTGGAGGGCCACTGGCCCAGAACCACGCCCTCAGCACCCCAGTTCCCTCTAGGGGGCTGCCTCCCTCCTCCTTGTAACCACTGCCCTAGATCGTCCCGCATGGGCCTCAGTCATGCTAGCAGGACGGTGCCCAGTATGGGTCCGAGGACAAGGTGAGAGAGGAGCACATGATCCCACAGTCTGCACAGATGGACAGACTGCGGCACTGTCACTGCAGACATGTCAGCCCAAGGCAGCTTAGAGTCAAAATGAGGTATTCCAGTCATGGTGAGGTTTACTATAATTTACTTTCAATATTCTGTGTCCGAAAGTGTGAATTCTTATCTTCTGATGAATGATTGTCATATGCCAGGTTCTGATAAAGTCAGCCTGACGCCTTGGTCAGAGGCAGTCAGGCTCCCCTTGTCCCCGGGGGGGG